TCCAGTTTTCTGATACCTAGCCATAGTGACATTTTAAGCAAGTCGCATTGCTTTGTTAAAGTAAATGTGTGGTGTAAATTACCATCTATCGGGATATGCAGTTTTTTTGTGCACAGGGGAAAATGAATGGCATTTCGGGTGTTGATCTTTCACTGTTGGAATAAAACCTGTATACAGAGTTCAAAGAACCTGTCTCTCCCCTGGGATTCTAAAATCAGCAGTTTTCTCTGAAATGATTGAATCCATGTCGATACTTTTCACATGAAGGTCAATAAGCTGGCCGCTGTGATTTGTGTAAATATATACATATATAAATATGAAATGTCAGATTTTATTTGATTCTACTGTATAAAAAGTTGTGCAAAGTGGCAACTTTTTTTTTCCCCCCCGTTTTGGATTTTGTAGCTGCTGTTTCTCCAGAATGTGCACATTTAGACAGACTTCTTACAGGATGGTGCCATGCTATCAGAGAGCAAAAGCCACAACATATGGCATCAAGCACAGATTCAATGCAAGTTCTGAGAGACCAGATGGGATAGACGTGATATTTCAAGATATGCTCCGAGCTTCTAGGAGTTTGAAATTATCCAGATTTGAGCTCATTCCCCCTTGACTTCAAATGCAAATGTTTTATGTAATTCTGGTGCCCTTTTAAAATCAAATCAAGTTCATTATTTATTGGTCACTTTCCAATTTCAAGAATTTCACAAAATACAATTAGTACAATGTACTCATAAACCTTATGTGGCTAATACATCTATTAAGCAGAAACTTATTGAACTGAACGATGAAAACATTTAAAATCTCCCAGAATTCTTAACTGAATACATTGTACTAAACTAAAATGAGTAAAAATGAGTCCCCAGTATCTATTCAAGATATGTACGTTTCAATTTTAAATATTATCACTAAACCATGGTGTTAAATGAAATCATTTTCACTCCCAATAACAGAGAAATAGAATATTAAGAATCCAGTGCTTTTTTCCCCTGAGCTCTTGATAAATGAGACATCGCATTGACATGAAATAAATCCCATGTTTGGTTTCTGTGTTAACTCTACTATGTCTTTGCCTCCTCGTGTTTCTGTGTTAACTCTACTATGTCTTTGCCTCCTCGTGTTAAGGTGGTCAGGATGGACATTGGATAAAAAATTCACTAGCTGACCACAGGTTTGCAGGTATTGCTTTGCACTGACCATTGGCTTGCTTGAAGGTTTCAGGGAATATCCAGGTTATTTTTAATAGTACATTGTCCAAAGATTGGCTCTTTGCATTGTTTCTAACTACACCTTAAACATTGTTAATTCTGATTTTGTAAAGAAAAAATATCTGAGTAATAAAGGGGACAGTTTCTCTCTATAAAATCCAGATGACTTTTGAATATTGTGATTAAATATCACTGGAGAGTATTCTTGATACTTTTAAATAAGAATGTCAGCTTATTTAATGTTTCCAAAGGAGGAATAAATTAGATTCCACTTGTTTAATTATCAAGGGTTACTGTGAACACAGAATAAAACCTCACTTGTTTTGTGGAAAAAATGTAAAAATACATATACCTGTGTTTGAAAAGAGAAAAACTTGCGACGTGGGTCCAAGTCATTAAAAATATGCATTGAAGCAAGAAAAAAAATTAAGGCAATGTTCATCGCTTTGTACTAGTGAAATCTGCCCATTTCAGGAACTGAAGCACCTTGTTGCAAATCCCAGGAAAATGTCACCTATGTTTAATTTGCTGCCAGGAAATTTGGCATATTTGAATAGTACAAAGTAACTATATTTCGTTAACCTTTTAAGTTGGGAATAGGCAAAAACATATAACTAATTAGGCAAATAAATGATAATGGATCCTGACCTTGATATCTGCAGACCAGACCTTACACTTGGACTACTGCTGTTTTTCTCATCTTCATATTGATTCTTAAATCCAAATTATTAATCTCTGTAACTTTCTGAGAAGTGCTTGAAATGCTCTTGAATTAAAAAAGTGATCTTAGAAGCTGGTAGACGGTTCAATTCTCGTTAACACAATCACTGTTTTTGTTTGTTTTGTTTCTGATGGGTAGTTATGGAGAAACGATGTTTAGAGCTACAGAGGCCTGAAAGCTGAACATTGTACAAATTGTGGTTAGGAATTTAAACAACAATGAAAAATGTTCATACTTTTTAAACCATTTGGGATGAATAATAAAATAATTTATTCATAAAGTTTTCCGACGTTTCTCTTTTGTTTGAAGCAACTGGAACTAAATTGTAGACTTATCATCAGGTAGCCCAGTACGGAAATGTTATGTTAAGTAATTCACAATAAAGTTAGTTAAAGTGTGTGCGATCTAGAATGCACTGGTGCTGTGATCTTTCTCGTGCGGACGCTCTGCGCTTTCTCCGCGCGTCATGCGGCAGCTTCTTGTCTTTCTCGTTTTTGTCCAGCGGGGTCGCTTCGCCAGCCGAGCTGCTAGCCGTGCAGGTTAACATTATAAACTATCGAGTGCTGAAAGAGAAAGAGAAATAGACAGTGAAAGCCTCGGAACATCCACATAATCCACACATAATCCTCAATTTTTATAAAAACCGATGAAGGCTAAGTGTATGTAGTTACTTGCTTAGTGGAATGGAACCGACGCGGCGAGCTGAGGCGCGCCGAGGCTGAGTGCTTGAAGTACGCTTTGCGGAATCAGGAAATCCCGAGGTTGTTGGGAGGGTGAAGGCCTGTCCCGTCGCTCCAGGAAAAATATCCAATTAAAACTAACAAGGTAAGCAGCGGATGAGAATAGCACAATGGCGATCTTATAATATGTGCAACTAAAGCTCATTTAATAAATATGCATTGTTAATGCTACCTTTATCTAATCGGTATTAAAAATGCACTACATCCTATATACGCTTCTAAAGTATGAATGAAGTGAGAATCCAAATGTAATTTATTTTCATTTACAATAAATGTTTATCTATAATCCGTCTGAATTTTATTAAATTATCGTAAACTCCGTAGAAACTTCGAATTTCGCTGAAGCTGTTCACACTAATTGACTAAAGCCCGGTATCTCGGTTGACTTTCTATGGTGCCGCCGCGACCCGTATCAGCGCTCTGCCGGAGGTTCTCTCAATATGGATTTGTAGTAAGTGGTTTATGAAATAAAAATAAGATGACCACGGGGTTCAGTTGCTTCCGAAGGCAGAGGGTCGTAGCTAGGTGTGCTGCTTGTATTTTTGCAGCAGCTGGACAGTGGACAGACTTTAAGTTCCGGAGGCTTGGCTGCCTGATTCGGCTACCTCTTCCTAAACATGTGCCAGGCAGGTGCAGGGATGTCGGACAGCGCGGGGCTGCAGCATGTCAGCCCGTACGCCTTCGAAGCTATGCAGAAGGTGGACGTGGTGCGGTTGGCGGCCCTCAGCGACCCGGAGCTGAGGCTTCTGCTGCCGTGCCTGGTGCGGATGGCGCTGTGTGCACCGGCCGACCAGAGCCAATCCTGGGCACAGGACAAAAAACTGATCCTGCGCCTGCTGTCAGGGGTTGAGGCCGTCAACTCCATAGTTGCGCTGCTGTCTGTTGATTTCCACGCGCTGGAGCAGGACGCCAGGAAGGAGCAGCAGCTCAGGTAATGTGTCCGTGTGGGTAGTCCCTGTGATGCTTGCTGGGGAACCCGTTGTCATTGGAGTTACCGACTGCCCACATCTCCTACTCCATGGTGATGAGGATAGTTGTCCTAGAAGTATCTAAGGTGCTGTATGTCCAAGGTGCTGAATGTCAGATTCAGCAGCAGTTTCTTCCCCAAGGCTGTAAAGACAATAAATACCCTGCTGCCCACCTGCCTATCCATTCCTGAGAAGTACTACCCCACTCCCTTAATATTATTACTTTTACCTATTTATTTAGTTCTCCCACCCCGTTATGCTGGGACCTGTTCTACGAAGCGAGGTTACTGGCTTTTGGGGGTAACTTATCGGAGTAAAGGTAGTCTGGGCAAAATGTAAGTGAACGAATATGAAGTCCATTTAAACTGTGGTACCTTAAATCCGACAAGTTACCCCGATAAGCCAGCAACCCCGCTTCGTAGTACAGGCCACTGGTGTATTTGTTTACATACACATTACATGTATGTCCTCCTGTGTCCAGCCTCCTGGTTTTGCACTGTCCTGTGGTTTTGCATTTAAGTTATCATTAAACCTTCCCCCTGTCACTTGCTGACTGTGTTGCATCGTTTGTCCTGGAAAACGTTATCTCATGCACTGCATACCTGAATATGGAAGGTGTGACAGTAGAGCTAACTTGACTGCAGACAATACCGTCTTCGTTGGTACAGCTGAATGTTTCGATGTCCCTGATACCTGGCAGGCACAAGGCTGGCGGGTCAAATGGGGAGAGCGTCTTGGTTTCGCAGCTGCAGCATGGCCTGACCCTGGAGTTTGAGCACAGCGACCCCCTCAGGAGACTCAGGCTGGCACTGAGTGAGCTGCTGGCAATAATGAACAAGGTACAGCCCCCTGTGTCTCCCCAGCCCCCTTACTGCTGTCACCCATCTTGCCTTGTCTAATGTTGATACACATACGTGACAGGGGAGAGAGCACGCAAGCGAGTGTGTCTGCATTTATTACAGACAAACAAAGTAAACATTTATTGCGGAGAAAAAGCCTTTTCCGCATTTTACTCTAAAAATGCGCCGGCTTGCACTCTCGTGAAACGCCATAGACTTTAGTGACTGAGCGACGCAAATAAGATGATTGGTGACGAAAAACCCGTGAAAGGCAAGCGGCAAATTTAGTT